CACAGCTCGTGACCGTAGGTGAGGGTAGGGACGTAGATAGACCTCCAAATCGAGAGCTTCGCTTTTACACTCAGCTCTCTTCACCACGACGGACCGGTGCAGCGTCCGCATCGCTGCAGCAGCAGCACCAGTCCGTCTGTCGATCTCCCGCCCCCCTCTCCCATCACTCGTGAACAAGACCGAGATATTTAAACTCCTCCACTTGGACCAGGAACTCGTCCCCACCCGGAGTGGGCACTCCACCCTTTCCCAGCTGACGGCATCCTTAAAATGTTTATGGTGCAAACTCAGCTTTTGGAATATCCAAGAAGAAAGCATGTGTACTAAACCAACTACTGAGTGCAAGAAGAGCTAAAAGCTCACTGACATCACCTCAGTCGTAGCTTTGCTGCAAGCACACGGTCCTGTCATCATGAGAGGAAGACTCAGTTTAATATGTAGCTGGTGACGCGACGTGGCTGCTCAGCGTCAGTGTCTGCAGACAGAGTGATCTAATGGTACAAAGCTTGGGTTTGGTTTACACACCCTGCAGATGCAATGTGTGGTGCTGTTTCTCCAGAGTTTTGCTTGTTGTTGGTTATTTAAAGTCTCCACCTTCTCTGGATTTGGAGTTTCCTCCTCTTCCTCAGCCCTAGCTACATGTGCAAGTACTGTGACTGTAACTTTACTGACGTCTGCAGCACGAACACATTATGGAGAAAGAGAGGGAACAAGGATGTGTGCAGGCCGTAAATGGTATAAAAGCTGCTTCAAGCTTTAAATAAATTCCACTAAAGATCCAAACCTGCTGTGGGACGGACACAGATACGCTGTGAAGGAGCCGTAACTCAAACGGCTGCTCGGCCTCCACAGAGGAAGAAGGCGAGGACGCGAGTTTTTCTCTTTAATATGGATTTACTGAGATCGTTTACATCAGTGGATACAGGAAACACACAGCGACGTACAGACACACCACAGGCTACAGTGTACCAGTTAAAAAGGAGACGAGCTCCTTAGAGCCAATCACAGATGTCACGCCTCTCCTTTCAAAGTTCGTCTTCAGTGCATCAGTTAAAGTCAAACTTCTCCAACCATAAACCAGCAGTGGACGGAGGAGGTGTCGGTCAGAGTCCCAGTTATGAGCAAGAGGAGGACGTGGAGCCAGTTTATCACCAGCTCCCAGTAACAGAGATCCAACACACACACACACACACACACACACACACACACACACACACACACCTCGTCTAACGTGGGAATGTACAGAGTTACAGATGATTAAAGTTTAGACCGACAGCATCAGCTCCTCACACAGCAAAATCTAAATAAAGTTTAATAAAATCAAATAAAGCACAAAAAAGTCTAAAATCAAAAATAAACACTGACCAGTTTGTTCTTCAGTCCCTTTAAACCTTTGAAATAAACGTGTCGTTAAGAAGGCGACGAGAAAGTGAACAATCAGTGTGTGTGTGTGTGTGTGTGTGTGTCATTGTGTATGTGTGTGTGTCTAGTTGTGTGTGTGTGTCAGTCTGCTGTGTGTGTGTGTCTGTGTGTGTGTGTGTGTGTCTGTGTGTGTGTGTGTGAGTGGTGTTGCTGTGGTGTCTGTGGTCTGTGTGTCTGTGTGTGTGCATGTGTGCTGTCTATGTGTGTGTCGTCAGTGTGTCTGTCAGTGTGTCTGTCGTCTGCATGTGTGTGTCTGTCTGTGTGTGTGTCTCTGTGTGTGTGTGTCTGCATGTGTGTGTCTGTCAGTGTGTCTGTCAGTGTGTCTGTCAGTGTGTCTGTCTGCATGTTTGTGTGTGTGTGTGTGTCTGTCAGTGTGTGTCTGTCAGTGTGTGTGTCACTGTGTGTGTGTCTGTCAGTGTGTATGTCTGTGTGTGTCTGTGTGTGTGTCTGTCAGTGTGTCTGTCTGCATGTGTGTGTGTGTGTTGGAGCATTTCAGTCAGAGTGTGTTTGTGGGGTTTCTGTGTTATTGTGACAGTTTAAACTACGTTTGTCTCTAATAAAAAATCTCCCCGGTGTTCCCAAAGTAACTGTAGTAGAAGCCCCGCCCACCAGGGGCTTAAAGGGGGCGGGTCGTTTTGAACTGAATCAAAGCTGCTCTAGCAGCACTTCAGTGTTCAGACTGAGCAGACGGCTGATCCAGGATCAGACTGAAGCCCTCTGAGGAAACGGCCGCCTGTCGTCCACACAAATACGACCCCACAGGCGTGATTGCTGTGACGAGCTAACGAGCTAACGAGGGCCACGCTGAACACGTACAGCAGGTCAGCTTCATGATCTACAGTGAAACCTTTATGCCTGTTATGCCGCGCTGCAGGACGAGGAAGACTGGGTGGAAACAAGTTTTCAGACTCTTCAGTGGAGAGAAGAAGAGACAATAACTCGTGTTTGTTCTGATCGCTTTAAACTCGTGTGCGTCTGACTTCCTGTCACTGTGCAATCGTGCGTTTCAGTACAAATGTCAGTAACCTAAAAACATTTAAATTGAAGCAGCCTGTCTGTTCTGTGAGCCAAAAACGTTAAACCGTGTTTTCACCTCCGTCTCAAACGCCGCCGAGGTTTCTCCCTTTAACCTGGAAACGTCACCTCGCCGTCCTGTGAATAAATATTAATAAAAGCCAGCGGAGTGCCTTTGATCCGGTCCGTGTCACTCCAAGTCCGGGTCCTTGCCGACATCACCGCCGCTGGATGAGCGGCTGCTGAGGTCGGCCACGCCCGACTCCAGGTCGCTGCAGGTGGAGAGGTCATCGGGGTCGTGACTCTTCAGCTGGGCATGTGGCCCTAAGGGCAGGGAGAGTGCGGGCTCCTTGGTGTGAGTCTTCTGATTGGCTGGTGCAGAGGAAAGTGTGTGACTGCTGTCCTGTGCGAGGCTGGCAATTGGCTCTCTGTATAAGGTGGGCGGGTCCGGCCCGCTGTGCCTCTGCGGCAGGCAGCTAGTCCTCCTCCGGGGAACCTCGATCTTCTCCCAGGTGATCGGCTTCCCCGTCAGCTCTGCGATCCTCTGCACAGAGACAAGAAGCTTACAATCAGCTGAGAGGACTCGTAACTGGAAAAACTTTATTAACACTCAGAGAGTTACAGGTTAGAACGAGGCTGCAGCCCAGCTGCAGTTCCCCTCACGTCCACTAGAGGCTCCAGCAGTGACTCAGTCCCATAGACTCCTATGTTAAAACTTTACAGAAGAAACAAAGGTGTTTTTAACATGACGTAGCTGCTAGCTGTCTGACTTCACCTCAGCTAACCCTGAACTTGACCTCCGCACCGTGTTTGTGCTGTTGCAGCTTTTTAATGACATCACCTGACCAATAATGTGTCGGCTGTGAGGTTACTGGACTAACAGGCTGTCCGATGAGATGTTACTGAGCGCTAACATCAGGTGTGTGTGACACAGTCTATGGTGGCCAAATACAGTAACCTTTACGCAACCCAGCAGGGCGGCTAATGCTAACATGCTAATGTCCAATTCTGAGATATAGAGCCAGTTTCCTTCTTTTATTTACAGTCTTTGCTACCAACATAAGACATTTAAAAAAATTAATCTAGAAACTTCTGCAGATTTTTTAAAATTGGTTTAATAGCTGCTGAATTATTTTTAATTTTTGGGGTAAAAAGTTTTAAAAAGTAGACGGTCGCAGTTTAAGCAGCGAAGCTGAAGTGAACGATCTGTGCTGGTGTCATAACAGGCGTGTCGTGTGTTGTATGCCTTGTCTGGAGCCCGGGTGGTGGTGGTGGTGGGCGGTTCCTCCTGGCGGTACCTCCTGGTGATTAGTCAGCTCCTCTTCCAGCTGCTGGGACTCCTCCCTCACGGCAGACAGGAAGTCGGCAGGTGACTGGCGGGGAGGCGTCGATTTCTCAGCGTGGTTATAGAGACCCTTCCACATCCTGGAGGAGAATAAATGTGAAATATAAAAGCAGAGAAACTCTCCACCTGTTTCAGGGACTCAGGCAAACAAAACAAATGCACAAAACCAGCAGCTCAGTGCAGCTTCCTTTAACCCTTTAAAGCCGGAAGTGACGTCATTTTCGCGGAAAATGTAGTTTGTTTGTACCTTCGGGGCCTTATGAGCCTATACTGGTGTTTTTGAAAGTCATGCTTGACTTTATGCTTTTCTGAATAGTTTCTGGGATGCTTAGGACTCAAGTTGCACTGCTGGAAACAGTTTATTTTGATGCATATGCTGTATTTTTTGCAAATTTGCACTATAATATTTATTTCCGTTTTTCCAGCAGTGTATAAAAATTGTTGTATCTCAAAAATAAAACTATGAAGACACTCAAAATACATTTCCTGTTGTTAGAAACTATTTTTGTATTTACAGTTTTGAGGGACAAACCTCTTAAATTTCTCTAACTAGAAATATATGTTAAAAAACAACAACAACAACAACTTTCAATTTTTTTGTAGTTTATCTAGTTATTATTGACTTAATGCACAATATTTGGACTATAACGGTTATATTGATGTATAGCAACTTGAAATGCTCCCACAAGTAAGAAAGAATATTAACACATTATTGGAGCAAAGCAGAAGTAACACACAAGAAACATGGAGGATATTAAACAGTAAAATCAAAAAGGGCTCAAAAAATAAGAATTATCCAGATTATTAAAAAAAAGATAAAGATATTGTGCTTGATAAAACTAAAGACATTGCAAATGAATTTAATGATTTCTTTGTAAATGTTGGCTTTAATTTAGCAAAAGAAATTCCAGAGTCAAGAAATAAAAACAGAGATGTCAGTTTACCAATTACAGGCCAATATCTCTGCTCCCACAGTTCTCAAAAATTTTAGAGCAGTTATTTGTTAATAGAGTTGATAAATATATTGAGAAGCATAATCTCCTAAGTGATAACCAACATGGCTTTAGAGTGAAAAGGTCCACTTCGATGGCAGTGATGGAACTTGTTGAAGGGATATCTAATGCTATAGATAATAAGGAATATACTGTTGGTGTTTTTATAGACTTAAAAAAGGCGTTTGATACAACTGATCTATATTAATGAATAAACTAGAGAGAGATGGCATAAGAGGGATAGCAGACAAGTGGATGACAAGTTACCTGGATGACAGAAATCAATAATGTAAAATCTAAGCAGTTGAAGGTAACTTGTGGTGTTCCTCAGGCCTCTGTGCTGGGCCCCAAATTATTCATATTATATATAAATGACATATGTAGTGTTTCCAAACTGTTAAAATGTGTATTGTTTGCTGATGACACCACTCTGTACTGCTCAGGTAAAAACCCAGAACAGCTTCTGACTGCAGCGGAAAAGGAGTTAAATATATTAAAAAACTGGTTTGATGTAAATAAGTTATCATTAAATATAAAGAAAACAAAATGTATTATTTTGGCACTAGACAAATGAAAAATGTATCCAAAATCAGGGTGAATGGAATTGAAATTGAAAGAGTGCACGAGAATAAATATCTGGGAGTGATGATTGATGATCAGCTGGAAGTCTCATACAAACCACTGATTTTCTCTACAAAACAAACATGACCTGAACAAGAAATTTGATTCACCTTGTCTCGTGCTGTCTTGCTTTGTGGTAATCTTTATTCTGTATTCACTGAGATATTTGAATGCTGATCAATAAATCAAAACAAGTGTCCCTACAGCATGTAAGAATATAAGGATAATTCTGGCACACTTGGTTCTATGGTAGGTCTTAAAGGGTGAACCTGCTGCTGCTTAAATTAATAAACTTAACAGGAATCGTCATGTTTCCAGCTAAGCTATCAGGATCCACAGAATCACTGCTGGGAATCGCAGCCGGCTGGACTGGACCAGGACTACACTTCCTGTTTTGTGAGGGAGAACGCGGTTGTGTTGGCGTTTTTGCTGCAGTGACTCACTTGAAGCAGTAGGGGGAGGTGTTGGGTCTCAGCACGCCCTGACTCTGGCTCTGCTCGGCCTTGTACAGAGGGTTGGTGTACTCGCCTCGGTCCTTCCACAGCTGAGGCCACACCGAGTGAGTGCGCTCATGAAGCCTGCAGACACACATCGCACAGCCTTTACCTCCGTGACACAGATACGAATAAAACTGGATTATAAGCGGCGTGCTCGCCGTCGCCTGTGGACACGAGCTGTTGTAGCGATGAAAACATCTGTGGTCTGTGACGAGGAGTGGCAGGTGATGAACGACGGACGGTTCCTCATTAAAAACATTCAAGGTTTCTGCACTTCCTGTTTCTTACTTCCTTAAATAAAAACGAGCAGCGGGCAGATATCCACGCAGACGAGACTGCGACGACATCAGACCATGAACACATTCTGTCCAGTTTCAGAAACTCATCTCGTTTAAATAAAAGCTACGACGGCTGATTTCCTTTAACACAGGAGAGCGAGCTCCTCGAGGGCCGGCGTCCTGCAGCTCTCAGACGCGTCTTTCGTCCAACGCGGCTGATTTAAAGGTCTTGAGTTCTCCAGAGGCCCAGTAATGAACTAATCATGTGATGCAGGTGTGCTGACCCAGGCTGCGATCTAACACCTGCAGGACGCCGGCGCTCGAGGCCTGGAGTTCCCACAGGATCAGTCGCTGGTTTCTACTTTTTCCTCTTTGCATCCGTCACATAAACAGGACTGATTTCTTAAATCTATTCAGACCCTGAAAAGCCGACTCGCCTGCTCACAGTAAGAGCCCGTGAATCCGGGACGCTCGTCCTCACCTCATGTCCCGACGCTCCTTCTGGCTGTTTCCCAGGAAGGTCCCGTACTGACACGAGTACACGTGAGCGTGGATGGCGATGAGGAAGCGCTCGTTGAACTCAAAGGCGCACGGGAACTGCTCTGACAGCTGCCACACGCACTCCAGGAACTGGTCGATGACGGGGGACACCTCTTTGGGATCTCTGTCCAGGTGAGCGTACCTGCGGGGCACAGAGCAATATTCATGTGTTCAGTCAGGTAAAGAGCAAATATGAACGAGTAATTAAACTGCTGATGCTCTCGTTGAACGTCAGCTGTACAGGTAAGCTTGACATCACTAACAGAAACTAATGAACCGTCATCACGTCTGAGTCTGTGCTCACGTCTCTACAATCATGAGATTGAAACATTAGAACTGAGGTTCTGCTGCTTTGAAGTGAAAGTCGTTTGGATTGTTTGGAGCAACCCTCGCCTTCAGCGTCTCTTCTTTCTCATGGTTTCCCACACCGTAGGACCAAAGTGTCTGAAACGTCTTTATCGTGGACTAAATGTGGACAGAAAGATGCAAGAGAAGCGTCCGAATGAGACCAGACTCAAAGTTACTGACCTGTGTGAGAACTTGTGGCCAAACGACACCCAGTCTCTCTGTATCAGCACCTAGAAGAAGAAGAGGAGGAGGTATGGATGTGAGACGTCAGAGGAAGAACAGGCGATGGTCAGCGCGGCCGTCTGCGTTACCATGAGGCCTCTGATGGTCCTGTAGTACGGGTCCAGCAGGATACTGGCCACAGAGCAGGCCTGGGCGGTCCTGTCCCAGCCGTCTGAGCAGTGAACCAGCACGCTGACGCCTTCGTCCGCCACCGCCTGGAGAGAGCGCAGAGAGCAGGAGTCTGACTTTAGTGCCTGATGGAGCTGCGACTGCTGAACCTGACCTGATGTAATGACCACGTTTTTAAAAAACGACGGGTTACCGTGCGGCGAGCTGGCAACGGGTGGTTTTTTTTAGTTTAGCAAATCCAATCAGAGCATGGAGGCTGCGCTCTACCTGTGGATGCATTTACATGCAGCGTAGTAAAGCCACGCTGGGCGACCTCCACCACAAACAGCAGCACAGCGCGTCCACTCTGACCATCCCCACCGCGAGGCCCCGACTGCGTATCATTAACAACGTTTATGTTTCTCACGTCTGATAAATAAAGTCGTGACATCATCCATCGGTCTGATTACGAAGCATCAACTGACTGACTGAGGGGGGGTCCCACCTGACTGAGACCCCACCCTCGAGCGACCGCTAGTTAATAAAGCATTAGCTCTGCTGAGCGTGTGCGAGTGCGTACACACACCCGGGCTACGAAGACGCCGGCATCCAGTATGGCTTTGATGTGTTTGAGCCAACCAGAGTTCTCCAGCCCCCACAGGAAGTCTGTCATGGACGGAGATCGCATTTCCCCCACTGAGAGAGAGAGAGAAAATATGCAGTCAGAGGAAGTCTGTATTTACTGATCGTTTGGGAAGCTGAACATTTCTTCCTCATTACCGTTTGTTTACCACACGCACGCGCACACGCACACACACACACGCCACACACCACACGCGCACACCACACACGCACACGCGCACACACGCACGCACACACACACACGCACACACACGCGCACACACACACGCGCCCCCACACGCGCGCACACACACCACGCACACACACACGCGCACACACACACACACACACGCACACACACGCACACACACACGCGCACACACACGCACACGCGCCACACACACACGCGCACACACACACCACACACACACACACTCACACACGCGCACACACACACGCGCACACACAACCACACACACACACACACACAACCACACACGCACACACACACACACACCACACACACACGCACACACACACACACGCGCACACACACGCGCACACACACACGCGCACACACGCACCACACCACACCACCACACACACGCGCACACACACACACCACACACACGCGCACACACACACACACCACACACGCGCACACACACACAACACACGCACACACACGCACACACACGCACACACACACACCACACACACACACACACACACACACACACACACACACACGCACGCACGCACGCACACACGGTTACCGTCGACGATCTTCTGCTGGCTGCTCCTCATCACGTGAATGTTTTCGATGCCGATGAACTGCAGCTTGATGTTGGTGTAGTGGTCCTCGTTCTCGTAGCCTTTACCTGCCGCTCGATTCGCCATCGCATTCAGCTGCACGCACACACACTCCGTTAGTCACAACACCTCTTCGTGTGTGTGTGTGTGTGTGTGTGTGTTACCTTGGGCCTGGTATCCACCACGTAGATGTAGTCACTTCCAGGGTTGGACTTCATCAGCGCCTGCAGCATCATCTCGTCCTCCTGACAGCGCCCGCTGAAGCCCGACAGCGGCTGACTGCAGCGGCACACGGCGGCCTGCAGAGCGAAGAACACACTCAGAATCCCACCTTCCTGTGTGTGTGTGTGTGTGTGTGTGTGTGTGTGTGTGTGTGTGTGTGTGTGTGTGTGTCTATTTAGTGCCCGTTCTCACGAGCTTGAAGGCATTTTTGAGACTCAGAACGTGATTTTGGTGTCAGGGTGACAGTTTGTTCATGGTGAGGTTTAAGGTCAGCGGCTAAAGCATAATGTCAATGAGATGTCCCCACAAGGATATAAATACAAACGTGTGTGTGTCTGACCAGTGTGTCCTGGTGGAAGTACGACAAAGCAGGAAATCGTCCTCGACTTCTGAACCTCGAGCTGCCCACGATGATGGCGGGCGTGGCCGACTTTGGAACAAACAGCTCTGAAGGGTATGTATCACACACCTGCAGGACACGGACACGCACACACACACACACACACGCACACGCACACGCACACACACTGTTTAAGCTCATATGGTGCATTTTAAACATCCTGTTACGATGACTTGGCCAAGCCGCTCAGCTGGTTCCAGCACAAACGCTGCAGACTGAGACAAACAGCTGCTTTGCTGCTCCTTCCTGATGAAATATTCAGAGACCGTCAACACCACAGGTGACCTGGGAGCCTGAGCTGGAGGGTGGTGCTGTGACGTAGCTGATGATAAGCTGTGAGTGAGGCTTGTTTGAGCTAATCTACCAAACCTTATAAAAACTACTGACTGACTTAAAGAGAAACATTCACAGGTTTAGATCGCAGCAGAGACGAAGCTCTGAAACGAGGAAAACACCTTCATCAGTCTGAGCGCGCAGACAGCAACGCTTAAACGTGATGAACCGAGTCTGAATATGGTGAGTGTTTGCAGTCAGACTGAGGGGGACGGCCTCTGGAGGCGCCGAGCTCTCAGAGCCGTCGGCGTATAAGCAGCAGCTTCACGTCAAAGTGCAGAAATGTACTCGTTATCTCTCAAACAGTTAACATTGTGTCACCTGATCATGACTGACCCTGTATTCACTGTTTGCTGCCGTGGCAACCCACAGGTTGTTAGGGACGCCCATCCTCTTGTAGTCGGCCGCGAGGTCGATGAAGTTCCACGACTCCTCCCTCTCCTCTTTGTTCACGTTGGGGTTAAAGGACAGACAGTACAGCTCGCTGTACTTCTCTGGGAGGAGACGAGGAATTAAAGATCTGTGTTACACGCGCGCGCACACGCACGC